GCAGTAAAAATTTTCCTGATGCTTATAAAGGACTCATTTCAGTGCCGCAGATGCCAAAGAAATGAGTGGCTTGAGCTTTGAAGATTGGGAAACTTTCAGCCAGTTTGGCAAGATATCCTTCTGCTTTGCAGGAAAGCACTTTGCCCCCGTGATGAGGAAGAGAGGGGCGTTACCTGCGGGAGGTGGATGGGCCCCGGTGCTGGTCAGTGCCGGTCTCCTTCACGAGGTTTCCTTTGCAGCAGATGACCCTTAATTTATCCTGATACGAGGACGCCAGGTAAATCGCTCCCGAGGAAATTGCAGGGCCCAGGTAGCGTGGGTTCGGGATTTCCAAGTACGCTCGGGCAGGGGTCCTGTGGAGTTCCAGGAGAGTCTGCACGACCAGCCACCTCCACTGCTAGGTGGGATGAGAGGGAGGACGGCCCCACCTGACACCCAGACCCAACCGCGGGCTTTTCAAAGCCTGGGGGGCAGTGCTTACCCCAGAGAGGAGCGGGCCTGGATCTCAATTACTTCGAGTGAGTTGAAGTGGGTCACAAACAGATAGGGTTCTCTGTAGGCTGCGTGGCCACCACCGAGCAAGAGCGTGGGGCAAGGGAGGGTTAAGAGACGGAAAATCAAAACCTGGCTGCCACGCCATCCCTGAAGCAACTTACCCTACACGTGCACCCACACGCCTGCATAATGAGACATGTTCAAGTTTACCCCCTGCCACGCTGTTACAGCAGAAGATGGGAACTGACTCAAGGCTACATGGTCGGGATCAGTTACATAAATCATGGCGCATCTCTGGAATTCCGCACAGGCATAAAAATGCGTAAGGCAAGCCCTCTATGCACTGATGGGGAAAAAACCCAAGGTGTAGTTTTACTTAGTTTGTAAAGCAGGGTTCAGAATACTGTGTAAAGTGTGCTACCGCACTGATTTTTACAAAGGGAGGGGGATGAGAATATATTTTTTAATGTGCCCGTTATTTGCATAAAGCACTGGAAGGATAAGAAATGCAGAAAAATGTTTTCCTTTCGGGGAGTGGGGAGGGAGGATTTGGGAGACAAGTGATACAGGTGAGACTTCATTGTAGACCTTTTTAAACTGTTTAATTGAATACATTTTTCTAAAAAATTTAATTAAAAAAGACTAAGTTCATAGATTAAATATTTCTGGTCTTAGTACTATATTTCTATATCACAGTGTCACTCAAACTCTAGGATATAATGAGAGCTGTTTTTGGTCTTAAAGGGAAAAAGAAGATTATCACTATTACTCCTTGCGGTGAACTGTTACTTCGGCATCAGTTGTGCCTCCTAGTACTCAGGCCCTTGTGGCCTCTCCTTGCCTGGCATCAGGCTGAACCAGCAGAATGTGGTGGAAGCGAGAAGGCCTGCCAGCCCCCACTTTTGCACTCTTAGGAGAAGCCCACGTGGAGAGGAATGAGGACTCCAGCCACGGGCCCCTGCTAAGTTCCCACCTGACAGCCAGCTCCAATTGCCAACCACTTTGTGAAGCCATTTCCGACTTTCTAGGTGTCCCGGTGCCCCTGCTGACACCGCAAGAAGCAAAACTGTCCAGTCAGGCCACAGAGGCTCAGGCAATGATAAGTAGTTGTTTTAAGTCACTAGGTTTTGGAACTTGTCATGAAGCAACAGATAAACGAAATAGCCTTGAAGGGTATTTCAGAACATTCACAGTCACATATGTACGGGTGTGTGTGTGTGTGTGTGTGTGTGTGTGTGTGTGTGTGTGTGTGTGTGTGTGTGTGTGTGTGTGTGTGTGT